ATTACCAAGCCTATCAGAGATGCTGAATCATTGTGCAAGAGAAGGCTGATATCTGCTCAACAGCCTGTTTTGCCTTTGGCAGAATTTATATTGGAAGGAAACCCTTCCTCCCAGTCAAGGGAGAGATTCCTTCCTGATCTTCATGGGAGCAACGGTGGTGTGCTAGGAGTTCTATCAAGCAGGAATCGATCAAGAGTTGGTCACTGGACCCTGGTTTCAGCAAATGCCAGTGCTGTGGTTTCCAGCAAAGGTGCCCATCCGTTTCATAGCTGCATAGTAACACATCAAAATGGAAGCTTGCTTTTTGTTTCTGAAATCTTGTCCCCATGATTTCCTGCAATCGTGAAGCCAGCAGCACAACATTCCTGGTTCTCCTTTTCTTTAGCCAGTCCATGGTGTTTGTTATTCCACTCCTGCCTCACAACACTTAATGGCCTCTTATTTTATTCCATGCTGCTTGAAAGGCAACTGCAACTTGCAGGTTCATATTAATGCTTATGCGGATTCTGCTCTTGTGAACAGCTCCTTCCCTGAGACATTGCTAGGGCTGCAGTTCTGGGTGCGTTTCCGCATAATAAACTTTTCACAGGAATTCACAGTCCTCTGACCCGAACATGCTTCAGCATTTTCAGTGTCCTATCTGTCTAAAACAGACATGCACTGGAACATTATCCTCAGGGTGTTTAACTCAGTGGTTATATTTCCAGCCACTCAGTATTGGTTTTGCTGCAAGTAATATCCTGGGTAAAGCAGAATCAGGTCTTTGTGATATCTGTCTTCCTACGTTTCTCTGTAGGCAGAGAAAACTTTCCTGTCAGGTCATGCAATACTGAGGTCTTCGTAGCACTGATTACTCCCTTTTCTAAAATATCTAGAATGTGAACAACATCAGATACTGTAAATAACACCTCCAGTCATACTGGTGGTATCTCCCTTTATGGTCCAATTTGTTGTTTGTTTTTCTTTTAAAAAATGAGCTCCAGGGGCTCATGGAGCTGCAAGCGAAGTGGAAATTTGTAATTACTGTATTCCTCAAGCAGGATTCAAATATGTGCCCCATAGACAGGCTTTCTCTTGCAGTACACAGTATTTCTATTATTTTGCCTGATTCCTCCTTCAAGAGAAATATGATTTACCATAGCAGTTTCAATATTGGATGATTTGGTGATGTCTGTGTTATATACCCAGCTTGCACTACTCCTGCTCTTATCCAAAGCGTGCTTGAGAAGTTACGTACTGGAAGTGGAAATTGCAGAAAATACGAAGAACAATTGTGGTCTGTGCTGAGAAGCTTGAACATACAGTAAAGCTCTCTGACCTCAGATTCTTTGTCTGCTCTCTTCAGAGAATGCCTTGGCTTAAAAGCCTTTGTTTCTTCATTAATATGTATAGGTTTTGTCCCAGATTTGTCTGTCAGACTCCTCTGAGGAGCATTGTCTGCTCCTGTGGATTCTGCGGTCAGGATGCCTTCCCATCATGTCTGGCATAGTCTGGTCTGACAGCTCATTCGGCTTGACTGCACCCTCCTTTTTGGTTCCCGCGCCTGCCCCAGGCTTGGGCCATCGTTGTGCTCAGAGTCCCCTGTTGCTCTGTGAGTCGCTGGGAAGGCAACCCCCACAGCATCGGCCGGAGGGGCTGGAAGCAGGGGGCTCCCTGTGGAGCTGGTTTCTGCTGGGTGCTCATGCCCAAAGTCTTCATTTGCCCTCTGAACTTTTGGTAGTGCAGTGCCAGCAGCTGCTGCAAGCCAAAATTACTTCGCATTTTGAGGAACACAAATAAAATGCAGCTAACTGGGATCTTTTTCCTTGTATCTTTTGCAGTCTAATGACATCTCTGATGAGCTGGCCTTAAAAAGCGGGGCCAGACAAGACTCTGTCACCACCATCCATACAGACAACACCCGAACGACTTTCCAGTCCCCAGAGTGTAACTCGAGCAAAGGAGAAATGCAGGAGAATGACCTTTTTAAGGCTGAGTTTATTCTGATTACTGATTCCGGTGATGAAGATGAAGTCGCTGCTGCCTCAAACAACGTTCACCAGCCTTCCAATGGCTATGGTCCCATCAGCGCTCAGCTGCTGGCCACGTCCCACGTTTCCCCTGGCACTGGGTCAGGGAAACCTCCTGGTGATGGGCACGTTCCAGGTGCTGCACTTTCCCCCAGCACTGCTGATCCACAAAAACATCAGGTAACCTGCTCTTTAAACTCTAGAGCTAACCTTTGCTTTTGAAAGTTTTTAGGACAGGGACACTGAGTCAGTTTGTAAAGCAGCTTGGCCAATTTATTCTCTAACTAGCATTTTTTTTGGCCATTCCTGTAATGTTTGGACTCTAATGACTTGTCCCAACCCTTCTGACTTGTTGCCTCTCCCTATGGCTCTGGTGTATACACGGAGCAGGTAATGCAGATCAATTGTTCTTTCCTTTAAGAACAGCTTATTATGACAGTAAGTTAATCAGAAGTTGTTATATTCCTAGCTAGCCTAAACTGGCTAAGGTCGTTGAAATTAATGGAGCTTGTAGATCATTTGAATTATTAGCATCAGACTTCCCAGGCCTGGGTTGTTTTTCTTTTTTTTTTTTTTTTTTTAACTCAGCACCTGCTGCAGCCCTTTATGCTAGAGAAAGGCTGTAAAAAAATCCTATTATTCTGATTGTTAGTTGGCACTGACTTTACACAGGTGTAAAAAAGTAATGAAGGTGAAAGGTCCATTTTACATTGATTTTTTATAGGGCACATTTATTGATGTATTAAAATTTTAAGTTGTCACTGGGAGAATTAAAAGGGTCTTTGAAATATTTAATTTTCAAAATACATCAATTTGATTTACTGCATGAAAAGTTAAAGTCCTCCATCTTGGAAAGAGCACTGATCACTTTCAAGGGTCTATATGCTGTGGAAAACTCTACCTTTAGCAAAGTAACAACATCATTTTCACATGGAATAAATGCAGACATTTCCTTTGACCTCGACAGGGTTTCCGTCAGTTAAAAATGCAATTCTTCATAGGTACTTAAAAAAAAAATTAAATATGGCTACTTTTTATCTGAAAATGAATAGGACTTCCTATCTTGTATTAACATACTTGTGCCACTCAATTTTTCATGAAATTTCAATTTTTGATTGAGGAAATTGTGAATAAGAAATCCACTCTGGTTTGGGATTCACAGCATCATGAAATATTAATTTCTTCCAAGAAACTCCAAGTAAAGTCAGTGAGAATTTTAGCTGAGGAACGTGTAAAGGCATAGATAAATCTATGTAGAAGCAGCAGCCCGTAAAAGAATAATTGTCCTAGGGAAATACAAATCTACTTCAACAATATTCAGTATGCAGATCCTGCCAGGCTTATTTGTGTGGTTTCTTTAAAAGATATTATAGAAATTGTGTGGAATTATTGTAAGACTATACAGAAAAATTCATGTGCTCTAGCTTTCTTAAGCTTTTGATGACTTGACAAGTAAACAGGGATTTGCCTGGTAAAGTAATAGAAAAATATAGATTGCACAGAGCAAGGAATTAGAGCCTAACTTTACTAACTGTTCACCTGAATGTGAAGAGAGGTAGTATGTAATGTGGGTAATGCGTATCTCATCATTATTTTTAAGTCACAAGTTTTCAAGACTGTAAGTGCTTCCTCAGTCTTCGTTATCTAAATATCTCTAGCTGTCTCTATCACTTCATAAGAAAAGGATGTTTTTACTAAGCTACTTTTCACACTTCTTTGGTGTTTCCTTAGGCATCACTCTTTCTGGCTTACTGTCTAAAGAAGTATCATCAGTTCAGAAATGGAGGAAAATTATGAAAAGATTAAATAGATTCATTATTTATCTGTTTGTAGATTTCCTTTGTACGAAGGATTCCATATAGGGGCTACCTTGTCAGTTTTTGGGTTAAAGGGCAGTATCATGTCCCACTTCAGTTATTCCATATAACATTATGTTAATTTAAAAGCATAATTAGACAACGGGTTTCCTGTCAGACGTGAGAAAAACAAGGACAAGCGCTGGGGACCATTGTGTTGTACAGGGGACCACTCTAACTGAACCAGAGGGCTCCTACAGCTTCATTCATTTCTGACTTTGTTTAAATGAAAGGAAAAAAGAAAAGCATTGAAAAAAAATGGAAGCTTCTATTGTTCTTTGAGGCGTAAATGTCCTGACTGATGATGGAAAATGCCACAGTATATTAAAAGCCTGAAAAACCTAATCAGTTAAAAAAAAAATCAGTTATTCTGATCATATTTGGAACTCTTTGGTGGTAGTTCACTGTTTATATACAGTGTGGGGTTTTTTTTTTGTGGTTTGTTTTTTTGGGGGGGGTTGGGTTTTTTTTTGGTTTGTGTTTTTTTGGGTTTGTTTTTCTTTTTCTTTTTTTTTTTTTTTAATGTTAAAGAGAGCCTAGCCATGCAAGAGTGAGGCAGACAGTCTCCTTCCCTTGGGAGTTTACCCTTTGGGATGAGGGGGATGTCTGCTCCCCTGAATGCCAGGGCATGAACTTGGCTTGGAGAAACTTCCTAATTCACTGTGAGGGGTCAGTATCCAGAAGACTTTTGTAGCTAGTCAAAGTCACTTGACATTGCTTTGTCCAGTGCATGTCTTTTCCAGACAAATCAGTCAAGAGTCCCTACAAACGCCTGCCATTGCCAGGAAGAATGCACCTTCCTTGTTGTGAGAAACCAGACTGTTCTGAATGGCATCTATATTAGTTGCATCTCAGCTCACAGTCTGATTTACTGTGTTGTCTCCAGAGATTTTGTCAAGTTTTCCACTGTCTACAGTGCTTTGTTCTGAATGCCTCATTCTCAGGTAACAGGCTTGGTAGGGAATTTACTTTATTTTTCACTATCAATAATCAAATTCTACTGAGATCAAAGCATGGTTAACTGGCCCCGGGACCAGGTCTACGTCAAGCCATATCTTCTCTCAGAAATGATTTTTGCCTTTTGGGCTTTCAGTTTGTCACACTTTTTCCCTTTTCCTGTTTGACCAGCACGTCTCTGAGGGCCTTGCTGGTATAAGTAACCACATTTTTTTTGCCCTTCCAAAACAATGTGATCTCACCAGAAGGACCACTTGCCTTGTGTCCAGCTCAGCTCTGCCATTTCAAATGTACTGAAGGTCTCCTGGGCAGGGCTCAATACTAAGAGTATGATCTCTTTGTTATTTCTGGGATCATCGCCTACGAGGCATCAAGATGTTTTTGAAGTTCCTTGATGCCTCTGTGCTAAGGTAACCTTGCCACCTATTTCAACTTTCTTTATACAATTTTGGGAAATGTGGATCTGAGGTGCTCCTGAGAAGAGAAAAAGGCCTGTGGTTGGATCACAGACCAAAGGACACAAATCTACTTTGGTCACCAACTTCCTCTGCACTAATATAGTACAACTACAGAAGTGTTTTAAACCAGTAGAATCATAGAATCATAGAACAGTTTCGTGTGGAAGAGACCTTCAAGATCATTTGGTCCCACCTTTAAAGAAACCTTTAGAGAAACTGAACAGAAGAAAAAGGCAAAACAAATTCCACTGATCAAGGGAAGATACTATGCCTCACCTGCTGGCACTGGTGGGGCTGCACCTGTAAAACCGTGCTCAGTTTGGTGGCCGCTCGCCCCTAAATTGAAGAGAGATTTGAAGAAGGGAATGGGGGTCCAGCCCAAAGCTATGAAGGTGGCTGAGACTGAGGTAGCTGGCTTTGTTGACTCCCACCAAGAGGCATCCAATGAGGTACCTGGGAATAGCCCATAACTACCTGAAGGGCAGTTACAGAGATGACAGAGCCAAACTCTTCTCTGCAGTGGCAGGTGAGATAGAAATGGCTGCAAATTGAAACATGGGAGGTCCCAGCTGGACATCAGAAGGTTCCTCACTGGGAGGTGGTGAGCACTGACACAGGCTGCCCATGGAGCTTTGGAGACTTGGTGAGACATGGCCACAGCTGCCTTCACCCACTGGTGTTGGTGAGACCCCTGCTTTGAGTAGGAGGCTGGACGAGATGACCTCAACAAGTCACTGCCAACCAACTTTGATTATGATTCTCTGATCCTGTAAACGTAGATCATCTGTAGATATAGCTAACATTGTAATGCAATAACAAAATCTTTTCAGAAGACTTGAATAATAGCTCCATTATCACAGCATGTAAATGTTCAGTGGTGTTCAAACTGGAAGAAGACTACTGCAAAATCATACTTGCAGGAGCGTATTTGTCGTCTGCTACCATGAACATTTTCCTAGCTACTTATAGAGCTTATTAAGTTTTAACTAATTAGAAGTCATTGCACATCCTGCTCTTTCATTATGGAGTTTCATATTCATTCCTTATTTTGTTTTAATCTGTCGTCTTTGTAAGGGAAATTTATCTATTCAGTTTTGAAATATAGAGATTTCATTCCCCAGTTTTGTTTTGGTAGTTGATCAGCCTCCGGAAGTCATTATTAAATTCAGGCAGCTGCTCCAAATTATCAGATACATTACCATTCTGCTTTTTAACTTGTTAAATAATTTTGTGTTTCATGACATGTTTAATAATAATTTTTCATAATGCTTAAATATTGGTAAATTATTATCAGTTTCCATTATTTTTTTCTTATTCTTAATTAGCAGCTTTTTCAACAGGACATAATTCCTTACTCCAATAGAATATATGGTACAATAATATAATGGATATTAGTTTTTATTTTATAATATTTGCCCTGTATACATCCACCGGCTTTTGACTTTGAAATGGGACACCTTAACACATATATAAAATAAGGGGAAGTTAGTGTGGTTGTAAAGACATTCTGATGGTTAGTGTTTATTTCTATAAATCAAGGCCTTGCCTTGTCTTTTCTGAAGGTATTGTACAGAAAGTGTCTTCAGTTTTCAAGGCTTGCTATTTATGTGGTATTGTTTAGCAGGAAGATCTCACTTATTTTAAGTTGCAAGGGCTGATGGGGCTCTGATGTGCTTGTTTAGCCCATATTTAGCCTTTTAGGCATAGATTAGCCCTTAAAAGCCTCTAAGTCTTGCTCTTCCATCACAGCTTCTTCCATCATGTGCTCTCACTTGAAAATTATTTGCTTTTTTCTTATTTTTGTTTAGTGATGTATCAATACTATATGACAAATCATCATAATAATTCTCTTATGGCAAGGACATTTGTCTTAAAAAATATAATTCATAAGCTAAGCCACAGCCATGCA